CCCCGAAGGACTCGTGCCGGGAACATCCTCGAGATGTTTTATCCTGAGGGACAGTGCCGCTTAACCCTCGAATCTTTCCTTGGGGAAAAGGTGATTTTAGCTTGAGATCTGTCTGGAAAGCTTATTTACAATCCAGCGGGGCTCCCCACCCCTCACCCTTAGAAAGCCAAAGCGGGAGGGGGCTGGTTGGCTTGTTGACGGGAGCACCAGGAAGTCCCAGGACTGTAAGCTAAAATAGGAAGTCGGAGAAATATCCTGGAAAAAGGCAAGGCAAACACTTCTTGCCAAGGAACCTGCAGGGGCTGTTGATGTCCTCAGGAGTCTAGCTCGACTCGAAAGAAGTTTCATTATTTTTTAGCTCAATGAGTTTGGCTTCAGAGCAGTCTAAAGCGCATCCTATTTTACCATCCTTCCTTTTCGCTCTCCCTCCATGTGAACACCATTCACACACATGAGAGCCAGAGAAAGAGAGGACGAGGGTCATAGGTGTCTGGCGGCGCGTCACGTGTGAAAAGGCCCTTAATATTCCGGGCATGCGCGGTCGCTCACTTGTTTTGAAGACGCAACAAAACCTTTTAAGAACCAGCCCAGCAAGTTCCCCCTTTGGAGTCTGCCGCAAGAAGCGTCCGGCGCAGAAATCCCCCTGGTCCCGGCGGAGGGAAAGCGAGCGCCCTTGCGCGTCCTGTTCAAATCAGGCTTCCCTTGGCAGGATGAAGCCGCCCCCCCCCCCCCGTCTTCCCTCAATGGGACACCACTTGAACTTGAGACGCGCCCGGGCTTCCGTGAATCCTCGGTGGTTTTAATTGAAGCCGCGCTCCCCCCCCCCGACCATTCAAACCCCATCCCATAATAGACCTCGCTCGGTCCCTCTGGTTGCCCTGGCAGCTGGCGCTCCTTGGCTGTTGTGTTTGCGCAACGGACTGTTCAAGAGCGGGGCAAGAAAAAGCTCCGCGCAGCCCACAATAGACCTGGCGGGACAATGGAGGCACCTTGGCAATGAAGTGAGCCCACGGAGGGAGTCGCGGCCGCGGCCGCTGTGAGGGCTCGGCAACCCCTCGCTCCGCGCTCGGCCGGCCAAACTCGGAAAGCGCTTCCTTGGTCCGGCTCTCCTCGACGGCTGCGGCTTTCGCGGAAAGACGCCCCGCTGACCTGGCGGGGACTTCCTCCTCTGGAAGCGAGATCGGAGCAGCCGAGGCGGGGGAGTGCAAGAGGCCCTCCGAGTGGGGAGGACCTTCGTGGGGCTCAGAGAGGCGGGTTTTCGTGGGGTCGCTCCCTGGCCGCCAGTGAGGGAAAATCGGCCGCCCGTCACGACTGCACCTCTGCCCCTCCTCCCCGGGAATCGGTCCAACCGAATTCGCGGGGCTCCCCGGAATGAGATCCTAGCAGGCCAAGGAATCAACCGCATTAAGCAGAATTTCACACACTTTCCAGGAAACAGTTATAAGTAAATCTCTTTAAACTTCTGCCCGCGTTCTGCTTTCTAGGATCCGGGTTTAGATTTCGGATGCAGGAGGATTTCCCAAATTAAGGCAACCTTGGGACTGTTGTGGTGGTGATTTTCTGGAGGAGAGCAAAATCAACTAAGTTCGGCACCGTTTCAGAAGAAATCGTCCAGTGTTAGGGATCACGAGGTCTAACTGTTAGTGACCAATACTAGCTTCAGGCGATCGTGCAAATTAAAACGGGGGAGTGGCGGGCTGTTTTCCCAAGCGATGCTGAGAAGCGAGTCTTCACTTGTGAACTGCGTAAAAAGGGACCACCGAAGGCGAAAAACTGCCGCTTTGTTTTTCCTTGTAAAAGCCTTCTGGAAAACCTCGTTTCTGCAATCGAAAGGAAGAGGAGAAGGGAAGAAAGGGAAACGGGAAGCCGCAACTTCCCTTCTGGTGGAAAACTCGAACCTCTCTTTCCCCCCACCCCCACCCAGCCTTGAAAGAAGGCATCCAGATGCCCCGCATTTTCCGGACTGGAGATTTCTTAGTGGGTACTCTGACGGAGTCAACGAGAATCCCGCCTGAAATTACAGTATTTGCAGCAATTTCACCACTGTCAAATTCCTCCCGGCAGGGTTGGAACTGAGCTCAGAGGGGCATCCCAGGAAAGCCAGTGGGGGTGCTTGGTTTGCCCCTGGGCCGAATGCCTTCCCAAGCATCACGCAATCCTAGCTTCCTTGATCCAGAAACCCTAACCCTATCACTGGAGGATCGGGCACAGGGCCGCAGCTAGAGGGTTGTTCTGCAATTGGTACAGAACCCTTGGAGGTTCCGGAGCCGGCGAGGGAGGCCAAGTATTTTTTTTCCTGGCTCCCTCCAAGTTTTCACACCCCCTTTTGGCTAAAGCCAGGCTGGTTTGACAAGCAAATGCCTCTCGATCTGCCAAGGTAGAGGGTGGGGAGGTGGGGGGGGGGATAGGACTGAGTACGCCTGCCTTCCAAGAAATCTCCGCCAAGGAAAATAATGGCACGAGTCCGGCCTGGAGGACAGCGAGCTGTCCAAGCCTCCGTTGAAGCACTTCGGCTTCCAATTTTGGCTTATTGTTACTCCAAACAGGGGATCCACGTGGCAGAGATGTCCCACTGATCCTAAAGGCTTTCAGATGAAAGAGATCCTCTTCCGGCCTGCCCAGGAATCCCAGGCATGAGATCCAGCCAAAAGGAAGCACTTTCAATTCTCATTCAATGCAGGAGAACTGCAGCGTGCTCCTTAAAGTAAATCTCACCTGTCCAAAAAGCCTCTAATAACCGAAATGTTGGCATGGGATTGCAGTCTCTATTGAAACCTAGGTCTCTGACTTAAAATAACTGGACAATTTCCCAATTCTCCAATGGTCCCTGACGGTCTACTTTGGAGTAAACTGTCTATTTCTTAGAGAATTACTCCCAGATAAACTTCTGGGAAGCATTGCAGCTAATGAACCAAATTGACCGGCATCCTTCTGAATGGTTATTGTGTATCCAAATAACAGCAGGTCTTTTCTAAACTCCCAAGAGATTGCATCAGCCCCCCAATTCAGGTAACTTCTGTAAAGTCTGGTCCTTCACCCTAAACTGAATCCTGGGAACCACTGGTTTTAGGAGAGCTGTGTGTCTGCCTCTGACACCAGGTGAGACACTCCTGTGGGTGAACCACCTGCAAGAGTTCAATTGGAGGCAAAATAGCCAATATTTGGCTCTTGAAACATGCAGCACCCATCATCTTGACACTGACCTGGCAAGAAAGGCCAACAGGACTTTCTTTCTCAAGGAAATGGGGTAAATGTCCAAGTGGTCCCAAAGCTTTGGGGCATAAACAGTTGATTCCCCAATGCCAAAATGCTGATCCCAAGAAGTAATGTGAAGCTGAAATAGGAATGCCTTGAAGTGGATCTATTTCATTTGTTTGGATTCTGCTTACCACTTAATGCCTCCCCAAATGTAGCCACTTGCCAGTCCTCCCTTAGGTGATAGAAAGATTGTCCTCATTATAGCTACCTCGACACAGTGAATGATTGGATGAGGCTAGAAGACTATAAATCCAAGCTGACAATGCTGGTGGACATGGGCTAGGCATCATGGAGGTAACTGTCATAAAGGCAGAAGTGAAGTCCCATGCAAACCCGTAATCCATCATCAGTTCAGAATGGCAGTGGGAAGGAAAAGGGGGAACCTTTTTAGAAGGCAGGAAAGCAGTTCCAGTCAACCCTTCTCTAGCAAGCAATCTTCCTCCTCTTGCATTTGCTGCCATCCTGTTCAGAGTCTGTGGGAGTGAGCAGCAATCAACAGCATCACCACACTGAGGAAAAAAAGGAACATTGGGAAGTAAACTAAAATAAAGGAGGTATGTCAGCAGCAAAAGCCCATACATTTGGGTTGACTTCAGGAAGTTCAGGAAGTACATGTGCTGAAAAACATTTTCTGGCCTTAATGCTACCCTTCAGTATTTTGTTGGATAGTTTTTCATACATGTATTTAGTTAGTTAGTTAGTTAGTTATGTTATGTTATGTTATGTTATGTTATGTTATGTTATGTTATGTTATGTTATGTTATGTTATGTTATGTTAATTTTGTCATAAAGCAACTTTTCCCATGTTCGGCTGTATTTCCCATCACCCACAGGGAGGTGATAAGGGAATCATGGGAACTGAAGTCCAGCAAGAGTGAGGTTAGGGAAAGTGGACATAATAACTCAAAGGTTCACACCAACTGAAACCAGTTTGTTAAAGAAGGAAGGATTATGTTTGTTCAAAATGCTAACCATAGTGGAACCTTGGTTAACTTTTTGTTGGCTCATGGTGTTGTGTGAACCCAGTTCCTTGGGTTAGTTTAGGCACTAAACTAGTATGGGACCCCAGAGAATGTGTTAACACAGTCCCTACATGAAGCATGCTGTGTGAACACAGGTGTAATGCTACTTTTTTTTAAAGTGAGGCCTCCATTATTTAGGCCAATTTGTAAGCTCTGTTTCACAGATAGGATGACTGCTTCCTATGTTCATGGAGATAACAGACCAGGAATAAAGATATCTCCTTCCTTCCCTGGAGTTCTTGTCCATAACTTATTGACATTTAGGGGGGGGGGGATCCAATAAGTATCTGTATTAGATACAAAGGGGGGGGGAAAACTGGCCATTTTCCATCTAATTGTGTAGTCCCTCTGCTGTTCTAATCCATGAGGGCTAGACCCTTAGTTTTATTTTGTTTCATAATGCTTAGAATGTATTCCTATTTAATGCAATGCATTTGCCCCCTAAGCTTCTTCCATTCAGGCCCTGGGAACGCCGTGTCAGTTCATTCCTTAAGGCCTCCTACAAACACACACAGACACACACATACACCCTTTTGACTAGGCTGGTCCACTGATTTCAAGGGAATCTCATCCGCAAGTTAACCAGGGCAGCCCTTCGGAAACAGGTTGCCTTGACATCACTGAAGAACCATAGGCCAGAAGAGAGGCCGGACCTCAAGATAAGGGCAGGCAAGGTGAGGCGAGCGACCCCGTCCCCAGAGGTGGATGGGAGAGAGCGTTTCAGGTCGGGAAGACAAGGGAGGCGGCGTCCCCTTTCTCCAGGTAGGGCTTGTCGGAATCTCGGTCTGCCACTCCAGGTATCCAGATTACACAGCTATAAACTTCATTCTCCTGGAAAAATAAAAGCCTGGAATGGTGCCTTTGAACGCAACTGTTCCCAGTTTGCGCCCAGTCGCAGCTGGGGGACTGCCCAGTCCTGCTCGCAGAATTTTGAAGCCTCTTTCCAATGGAAGTCACCTGCTTCACCCCCTCCTCCTGTCCCCCCCCCCCCCCCAGCTTGGAGGGACGGCAAAGGTGTACTAATGAAAAAATGCTTCTGTTTCCAATCCCAGAAGGAGGGCTGGGCTGAAGGGAGAAGTTTTTTTCGGGGCAAGAGAAAGCTGGGAGGAGCTGGACCTGTCTGTAGATTCAAAACAAACCCAGAGTTTTCTTAACTTCCTCAGACCCAGGAAAGACAACCCTTATACCACTCAGCCAGCCTTCCCAGGTTAAAAAAAGGAAAAAAAGAGGAGTGAGAAGATTGAGAATTGTGTTGGAATGTTCCACCGTTTTACTGAATTAGAAAGCCCTAGGAACGCGGCCCGCCCTTTCTTCCAAGTTAAAAGCACCCTCAGCATCGAGGATACCAGGACCGTAACAATTCTTCTGCCCTTAGAAAAAGTTGAGAAAACATTTCCGAACCCGGTGAACTCGAGGCTTTTTTTCACCAGGGGAGCAACAGTGAATCACAACCAAAAAACATTTCTCTGAGTGCCCTGCATTTGAACTTGCCTTCTTCCACCTTGTCTCGGTGAGAGCCCCCACATAGGCAAAATGCGGATGTTGGCTTGGATGTTGTTGCCAAAGACCGCACCGTAAATGCCTCTGAAATAAGTATTAATAAGGCAGAAAAGGTCCTTCACTTTGGCTGGATCAACCTCTATTTGTTTTATTGCGCATACCAAGCTCTGCTCCTTTATTGCTCTGTCCTGCATTATTTAGGGTTGCATCTCCACATTAAACGACCTCCTTTTAATTTTGAAACACCTATTATTTTCTTCCGTATTCTCAGGGTACTTTTCCCCCTTTCACTTGTACTCCTTTACCGTGGCATTCAACCGTTCGCCTCCCCTTCCCCTTCAGAGAACGAGTTGGGCTGGGCTGGCCCGTCTCCCTCCCAGCTTCGAGATCTGGGCCTCGTTTGCCTACCAAGGCACGAACGGGCGGCGCTTTTGATCCAAGGCTAGAAGGAAGCGGCAGATGCGGAGAAATGCGCTGTCGCTCGGCCTGAACGGGGGGTGGCCGCTCCCTCCCGGTCCCAGCGGAAGGCTTGGGAAACGGGGTGTGGGGTGGATGGAGGGCAAGGAGCAGGGGTGGGCCTGGAAGGAGCTCGCGGTGTCAGCCGGAGGCGGAGGTAAGCCTCTAGGAACTTGGGCCATCAACTCGACCTCTTACAACACTCCCACAATACGTAGATGCCCGAATTCAGATCCAGCGACAAAGGTGAACCTTTGGGACTTGGGGCATGGCAGGGTTTGCCACGTGCTCGTGGTTCCGTTAGGGACGCGGGGCTCCTCCTCCCCCACCACGACATGCCGTACGGACTTAGGGCTAGTGCTCGTGAGTGAAAATGCATCCCTCCACTCCCGGGTGGGCGGACCGCTGAGCCGTGGGAAAGGCCAAAAGAGCAATCCGCTCGATCTATGCCAAGCAGGAGTAAGTGATGGAAGAAAATTCCCTTTCTGCCGGCGTGCCTGCCTTCCTAGGATCTCTCCGTCCGTCCGTCCTTCTTCCCGAGTTAAAAACCCTCGCCCAAACTTAGATTCAGCCTAGTTTATCCACCCCCCGCCGCCGCCCTCTTTTGACGGCAACCGGCAATTACTTCGCTCGCATCACGACGTTGCGCCTACTGAGGACTGCCCATTCTGCCGAGTCGGGTCCCGGACTTCCTTCCCCAGCTGCATTTACGCTATTCAATTTTGGGGCAATAATAAATAAAAATAGCTATCGGGCTGGAGTTCTGGCGTTACTTTTTCCTTCCCCAGAAGCAGTCTTGGGACTTACAGCAAAAGCTGTCAACCAACGGTACACTGAGTTAATAACCCAACACACTTAGACCCGCCGTGAGTAAAGATCTGTGCAACTGACACTGTCAAATGCGTCGAGCATCCAGATCGACCCGTGTGCTTGGAAAGCTGAACTCTAGCAAGGAAATATTTCTTGGAGTAAACACCGCAATGAGACTTGTGGCTGCAGATCCACCCAGCAATGATATGCAAGCACAGCCTGGATGTTTACTCGGAGAAGTCTCTTTATGCTCAGTCTCTGCAGATTCTGTTCAGCACTACAGGCCCAGCCCTGCTTCCTCGGTCAAGAGCTGATTGGCAGCGACCCGCCTCACACTTGAAAGGGGCTCCGAGGCGATTTGGTTCAAATCAGAGGCTCAAAAGCGAAACTTCCGCGGCCGCCTGCAGGCTCTTCAATGGCCCCCACTCCTCAGAGGCGCAGGGCCGTTGTTTCAGTAGATTGCTACAATCGTCCAGCTATACCTTGGATGCAACAGTGGGGGGACACTCTGTGACTCCAGGAGTCCCTAACGAGGAAACGGCCTGAACCTCCTTAAGCATAAATACGGCAGGGATGGAGGCCTTTCTGCGGGCGGTGTTGCTAGCAGGAGATGAAGAGTCTGGGTGAAGAACCCCACATTTTCCTCAACCAACCTGGGAAGCCCAGCATTATGCCCGGCACTGCATGTTTAGGGGTGGGGTCTGGGACTCCTCTGCAGGAGCCCATCAGGGACAAGCTGAAGGAAGCCGCTTGGCCGCCTGCAGTTTTCCAGGGCGGGAAGAGTTCCGGGAAGCCCCTCGGACTAGTCTTTCAAACAGTAGCTCCAGGAGTCGGGAGAGAAGCAAGAAAACGACCCAGAGCATTCGCTCTGTTCAGGACGTGCATCAGCCTTGGCAATCTTTTCGGGTCAGTCAATACCCCGATGTGGGCAAGGTTCGCTCTTGAAAACTACTTTTCCATTGAGCTTGCCGCCTCCGCTTGCCCGGCTTCCACCATCCCAGGCCTTGAACACCCTGCCAGTCTCCTCACCAAAGAAAGGCAAGGGCCACAAGAAACAGTCAGAGGGGGTGGCTTTCCTTTCTTTTCTCACAACCAAACCAGTGGGTCGGGGGTTGGCTTTGAGACTTCACCCTATGGGACCCTCTGGATCTGGAGTGCAGAAGCTAGGACTGCAATCCACTAACAGGAGCAAGGTCTTCTCCAAGGAGAAGGCAGGCAGTTCAGATACACACACACACAGACACCGCACTCCCCTCAAGAAGATGCCTTAGGGTACTGAAGCTTCAGTCCAAAACATCTTTGAGGTTGAGGCAAAGCCGCCTTCCTGATCAGTTGGTGCATTTATTGACTATCTATGGTCATTTGATGATTTACAACATCTTACAGTGTGGCAAATCCATTGCTCTTGTGCCACAAAGCTGGGAATGAGTTGCTCTGACTACAGTGATACACTTCATTGATAGGTTTTCACATCTAAAGAGTAATTACTCCATTGCTGTGCTGCTGTATTATTGGCAAAGATAATTTGATCTAATGGTTAAGGCACTGGGCTAAAAAGCAGGAGACTGTGAGTTCTAGTCCTGCCTTAGGCATGAAAGCCGGCTGGGTGACTTCGGGCCAGTCACACTCTCTCAGCCTGACTCACCTCACAAGTCTGTTGTTGTGAGGAAAATAGGAGGAGGAAGGAGCATGAGGTATGTTCACTGCCTTCAGTTATTTATAAAAATAATAAAGGAGGGATAAAAAAAAAATCTAAAAAGAAAATCTATATCCCTCTAGAGATGGCCCAATGATGCTAAAAATCACCATTGTCCAGGACTTCTGTTGGTGAAGTTCAGGAAGTGGAGTAAGGTAAGGGGCCCAAATCCTCAGTGAGAGGCCCAACGGTTCCTTGGATGGTCTTGGTCTAGTCACGCTTTCAAACTGAACCCACCGCTTTGGTATCACTGGACACTTCTGCACTAGTGACTTCTAGTGTCAAAGCCAGCCAACCATTGCTATAGCGATCTGCCAACAAAGATAGGCTTCCCATTGCACAACAATGACTGAATGCCACTATAAATCCCTAGTGTGGAACCAGCTGCTGGAAGACCAATGGCATCACCCAGTCATTGCTGTGGCCATAAAGATCGTCTTTCTCTTCATTGCTGTGTCACAGCAATGCTTGAATTATGCTTTATAGGCAATAAATCATTAGTGGAAGTGGTGATGAAAGATTTCTGGTACTAGCCATTTCTAGTATTATTAGCTATCACTATGAGGATATCAAGCCGGTCTGTTCTGATGATTTATCCTCACAAGGATCACTTTATAATTTCCTAGTGCAGAAACCAAGTAGAAAGTCTGTCTGTCTTCTGGGGTAATTGACTGACTTCCAAGTTACAGGGTTAGAATCAACCATAGTGTATCTGTGGAAGTGGGAGACATGTAATGCCTTTAGGAGACAATCCGTAGAATTATAGAGTGGGATGAAATACCAGTAAATGGATGGAAATACATACCACCCTACCTGCTATAAGGATTGTATATTGTCTCTCCTCCCTGTCCATCCAACCCAGCACCTTCAGCTGAGTCGATGTCCCTCACAATGATTCTTTGGCTGGAGGAGCCTCCAGGGACTGTGGCTTACTACCATAGTGGTCAGACAGGTTAGCAGATCGAAAATACTGCTGCTGCAGATTTGCCCAGTGCCTGAGAGGGCCGAGAGATGCCAATTGGAGCCAATCCCTTACCGTTCCCAGGCCAAAGATCCGCCAAAGGAAGTCTTGGGGCCGGCGAGGCTTGTTTCGGCGGACTGCTTTTCCTCCCTAGACTTCAGAAGCCTTTGAAGGCCCGCCAAGCGCACACACGTGCCCTTTGGCCTCCTTCCCTTCCCCCTTGGCTGCTTGCAAGGAAAGAAAAAAACGGGGGGGGGGGGGGCTTCGGACGGAATCTTCGGCTCCACACGGGACTGTGTGACAGACCACTCTGTGAAGTTACCCTTTCTTTCAGACGGCTACTTCCAAGGGAAGCTGAAAATTACACCCCCTTCCAGGCAAAACGCCTCAATCCCCCCCCCGCCCCCC